CCAACACACACCCATTCACTTAACTAAAACAGGCGCGCCACAAACTAAATTCTTGTCGACCAGACAAAAACCGCCTGCCTTGTACCCCCACGGCCGGCTTCCTGACCAAGAGTTCCTGGAGCTTTCTTGCTCCAGCCCTGCACCAAAGATTGCCCTCAGTGCTGACAGCCCTAAGAACCTCCTGGATGCTTGGCGTGGCATTTTCAAACACACATGAGTTACGGTGCTTCCACACCTCCCAGGCTATCAAAATTATCAGGGAGTTGAGACCCTTCCGTTCCGCCTTGGGCACTGGCGATATTGCCTTCCACCACCATTTAGAGAAACGAGATGCTGTAGGTTCTGGCGATAGAGAACTGAGACCCAAGTATTGGAAGATTCGAGCCCATAATTGACGAGTGAATACACAACCAACCAGGATATGATGAATAGTCTCCTCAGCTTGATCACACAAAGGGCAAGCCTCAGGATGGGGCAATCCCCTCTTCGCAAGGCGATCGGCCGTCCAACACCGATTGTGGAAAACCAACCAGATAAAAAATTTGCAACGAGGAGGCGCCCAGCTTTTCCAAATTCTTCTCCAAGGACCAAACCTGATGGCTCCCACAAAGAAGGCAGCATAAGCTGATTTACTTGTGTATAAACCAGATTGGGCTAGCTTCCAAGTAAATTGATCTGGAACCTGTTGCTGCAGAAAAATTCCATCCACCAAGTCCCAGAGCTGCAGGTACTCGACGAGGACTGGTACAGTGCGAGCTCCCCTGATGTCATCTACCCATTTTCTGTTCTGGAGTGCCTGAGCAACAATACGTCTCTTGGCTGTACGTTTGGGGACAGCATTAAACAGGTTGGGGGCCAACTCAGCCAAGGTGTGACCGTTTAACCATCTATCTGTCCAGAACCGAATTTTCTCACCATTCCCTACTATGGCATCTACTGCAATATTGTAGAGGGCCTGAGCCTTGTGGGGGACTTGTACTGGAAGACCAGCCCATGGTCTTGATGGATCAGTTTTCTCAGCCCACAGCCATCGAATCCTTAAAGCGCAGCCAAGGAGTTCTAAGTTATGGATCCCAAGGCCACCATATTCAAGAGGCCGCTGCACCCTTTCCCAAGCGACCAAACAATTACCACCATTAGCCTGCTCCTGGCCTTTCCAAAGGAAGCCTCTCCTTTTCTTATCAATAGCCTTTAGAAACCATTTTGGCAAGTCCATGGCGATCGAAAGGTAAATGGGAACAGCTGTTAAAACTACTCGAACCATTACCAATCTTCCCGCCCGATTCATTAATGAGGCTTTCCAGCCCGGCAAGTAATCTGCCACCTTGTCAATTATTGGTAGCAAATCCTCCTTGGTGGGTTTCCCAATTGTGAGAGGGAGCCCAAGATAGGTGCATGGAAATTCCTTGATGGTACAGGATAAGATATCAGCTGTAGTGGCCACTTCATCAACAGAGCAATGAATGGGAGAAATCGAGCTTTTGGACAGATTGGTTCGGAGTCCGGAAGCATGTCCAAAACGGTTCAGCAGCTCTTTCATCAAATACAAGTCATCACTTCTCGGCCTTAGGAAAACAACTGCATCATCAGCATAAAAAGAAACCCGATGCTGGACCTGCTGCATAGACAATGGCTGCAACAATTGCTCCCGAGTAGCATACTCCATCAAGGAATTTAGGACATTCATGACAATAATGAAAAGCATGGGAGAGAGAGGATCTCCCTGCCTGAGACCTCGCCTATGAAAAATTGTCTCACCCGGCTCCCCATTCACCAAGACTTATACATGATACATGGACAACTTGGCCACAAACATTTTTTCCTTCAACAATGAATCCCTATAAATACACAGCTAACATGATTAAGAAACTATGATATATGCCTGCAGGTAAGGAATTTAAGAGATGACATTTCAACTAACTAGATGCAGGTTATAGTAATTGTCTAGCTAGTTCTTGCAATGCTGCTGGAACCACACACATAATAAGTATGTTCTGATCTATTCGTTAATATGTTGCTAGTTCCTCCCATTTATGAAGCATATCTTATATTTCTGAAGCATATACTATATTCTCCCATTTGATCAACTTACTTGTGTATGGACTCGGAATTTCAGACATAATATAACTGGAATCAAAACTGTTTACATGATATGGGACCGAGCTATGAATATTTTAGCCTTTTAGCATCTCGGAGCAAAAAAAAGGCACAATTTTAGTAAAAATTGTTGTTGTTAATTACTCCCTCTATTCTAAATTATAAGTCAGAACGACTTATGATTTAGAATGGAGCGAGTAACTTTTAGTGTCACCATTTTCTTGCTCATCCAGTTTCTGTAAATGATATGCGAAAAGTGACAAAAACAAAGAATAACACCCCTAATTTCTTCTACTCCAAACTAGCTTCTGTGCCACATGAATGCAGCAAAAATCTCTTCTACTCCACTTTCGCATTTCTTTACCAAGCACTGCCAAAAAGAAATTGAAATACAATGCGAGCAAATCCATCCATTTAAGAAACAGAACAGAAAAAAGACATTTCCATTTCTTTTAATGATCGGATGGGTGGGAATGATGGTAAGGATGGCAGCGGATCGGGTTCGGGCAGATATCCGCGGGTTTCGGGTCCGCGGGTTTCGGTTTCGGGGCCTGATTTTCGCCCACGGTTTTTCGGGTTCGGATACCTGAAATGCTGCGGTTTTGGTGCTGATCTTTAATTCCACCAGCAGAGCTCCATCAGGCCCCGAAAGATTCAGCCCACTAGTAGCCCAACTAGCAACCCTAGGTATATAAGTTCCCTCAGCCCTCTCCCGCACCCACCCAGCGCCGCACGCCGCACCCAACCACGCACCTCTCTGCTTCTCTCTCTCTCTCGGTCCTCAGGCCAGTGCTTGCAGCTCGTCCTCAGGCCCTCGCGTTCATGACCTACTTGATGCCCGATCCACACAAGCAAGCGGAGGAGCAGCTGCACCACCACACACCCACCCACCACCACAACAGCGAGAGACTAGAGAGGCGAGGGGCAAAGACGCCCACCGGGCGAGGGCACCCCACGCTTCCAGAAGAAGGCGGCGGCGCCCCGCCTCAAATTTCTAGTGAACTGCAGGGGCGGCGGCGAGGGCATGGGCGCCCCAGTGCCCCAACCAAGCAGTTCAAGAAGCGGCGGCGACGAGGCGCCGGCGCCCCCTGAAGCCCCACCAAGACACGCCAGCGCGGCGGCGCGGCGCTCCCCAGGCAGCGGCTCATCGCATAGGGCCAGGCGGCCAGCACATCCTCACGGATTCTCGACTCAATGTTTCGGGTTTTGGATAATCCGTTGGGTTTCGGGGATCCGCGGGTTTCGGTTTCGGGGATGGATTTCCGCACGAATTGGTGTTCGGGGCGGATTCGGGTTTTCAGTTCGGGTTTCGGTTTTGGGTGTCCAGAGACTCCACCCGATCCGAACCCGCCCCGTTGCCATCCTTAAATGATGGAGAGATGTCCCAGACCATTGTAGTTGAAGCTGTCTCTATGATGGTAGACAGAGTGATTGACCCCACTTATATGCGTATTAATGACAACACCTCAATGCACCCCATCATTGGACTTAAACAGAGGACATTATATTTGACTTAATCTATGAACCTTCTAGATATTGGGCCTGAACAAACTTAAGATAGGACTCTTCTGTGTGCTGCAACACTAATTCTAGAAATTCTATGCCAAATTGACACGGGAAGACATCTTGCATCTATGTTACACGGATACGTCCAGGAAGGCGCGTATCGCGTATCCGATACGTATCGGATACGGATACGTGTCCGATACGTCAAGGATACGTATCGTCGGAGTATCCGAATTTTAATAATTTTCGCGAATATTGGATACGTGGGCTGATACGTATCGGCCTTATGGGATACGGCCCGGCCCAATAACAGAGTCACATATCCCCGACGCTTCTAGCCGATGCCCGCATCTCCTGCGCCCGTGTATGTCGCCGCGACTTCATGTTTGCAACACTGCTACAGTGATGACGGCGCATCCCCTTCGCCGCCGCCACGGCCATCGGCGACGAAGCCTCGCCTCCGCTTCATGGGCGTCCCTACTCACCGGCCGCCACGGCGACGAGCCTCCGCCTCGTGCTCACCTCCCTCCCGTCCGTCCCCCCCACCCCACGCCGGTGCCGTGTTGCCTGCTCGCCCTTCTCTCCACCGGTGCGGAGGGCGGACGGACGGACGGAGATCCGCAAGGCCTCGGCTCTGCTGCGTCGTGCTTCTCGCCCGGCTCAAGGTCGGTTCCTCTCCTCCCCACTGTGGCCCAACGACCCACCATGCCCGCCCCGCCCGCCCGCCCGCGTGGTCCGTTATGTGCTAAGCTAGCTGCAGCTTGCTTCCCGGGTTAGGTTTTTTTTTTGAGATGGATTTGATGCGCTGCTAAATAGGAGTAGAAGTTTATGCAGTTCGTATTGCTAGTGTATGCTAGTGTATGCAGTTCTTGTTGCTAGTGTATGCAACTTCTACTCCTGTTAGTGAAATTGCTAGTGTATGCAGTTCGTATTGATGAAGTTAGTCTTATTGATGAAGTGCAGTTCGTATTGATGAAGTGCAGTTCTTGTTGCTTTGCTTCATTGCTTGTATGCAGTATTAGTCTGTCTGTTCTAAACTTCTACTCCTGTTAGTGAAATTGCTAGTGTATGCAGTTCGTATTGATGAAGTTAGTCTTATTGATGAAGTGCAGTTCGTATTGATGAAGTGTAGTTCTTGTTGCTTTGCTTGTATGCAGTAGAGAGTTTCTTAGTGAAACTACTACTTTCACTCTTTCACAATTTTAATATGCGCTATTATCTATATTTATTAAAAAAACAGTAAAACGTATCCGCGTATCGGGTTTCTTAGGAAATTGCCGTATCCGCGTATCCGTATCCTTCCGATACCGATACGCGTATCCGTATCCGTGCAACTTAGTCTTGCATGACAGAGGACTCAGATCATTTCTTGTATTCTCTCCCCTCCACATTGTAATTTATATGACAAGCATTTGGATATAACTGGCATGAAGCATTCGAGATGCACTGACCAAATCCCTAACAAAGATAACTACCACATCAACAGTGACTGCAATAATTCCCTTTGGCACTGCACAATACACAAGTGACAAAACTGAGATACTAGAGCATACCACAAACAAAAGCCACCTTCGCCATCATGGCCAATAATGAGAGATGTGTTTTTTGGCATCCTTTGAAGCTCCAGTACAGGACCCATGTTACCCAAACTAGGAATCACGTACTGCTCAGATATCTCACTGTGAACACAAAAAAAGGAATAGATTACACCCATCAAGAGTTAGTATGGATATCTAAATCAAGTTTAAGGGGAACTCCTGCAGTAAATATGATTCCAAATCATGATGGTAATGCCTAAGCAAAAGGAAGTACAACCATGGACATGGACACATGGTGCATGATTAATGCATCACAGAAATACTGAGACACTTGAAAAACGTTAAACAATGTGCTTAGCATGTGTTCATTAGAAAGGCTAGGACATCCACAAGACAACCAAATAGGTACTCAGAGCAGAACTGTCTTTCCCAGACTTCTTCAATTTGCACTCTAAATGAAATAGCTTTTGATATATCCTGCTATAGCTTTTATAGCTTCTGAAGGAGGCTACCGCTAAATGTCATAGCCCGCAATTTAAAACCATGAACCCAACAGATTATTAGAAACTCTTATCTTTTATTTAACACCAATACTTTTTCATAAGACATGATTTATTGACAAATTTGAGTGCATCAAGTGAGTGGTGTGTCCGAAGTCTTGGCTAATGTAAGGTTCTGATTTCTATTGCACAGGGAATGTATTCTAATTTTCTTCATTTCAAACATATAAATAGATTGCTATAATATTTCCAATAGAGCACAACCATTCAATCCAACCTTTTAACATGAAAAGTAGATGATTACTAGAATATTGTACTTTGCACATAGTAAAATTGTAATTTAAAAAAGAGAGGTATTAAAACATGAGATGGAAAGGGACACATATAATGTTGATACTACAGAAAATATGTACCTCCACCCATCGACCATTTCCCAGATATGCAAGTTTCTGCTATCTTCAGCAGCTACAATGTAATTTGGTTCGAATATCAGAATACACGACACTGTCCCATAAAGCATCAAATTGGTTACAACTGAAACATAACCCAAGATAACAGATACAATTTTTAAAGAATTATCTTCGCATCGGCCCAAGTTGCACACCGAGCACAAGCAATCAATGTTTTGCATCCTGTCGATAAGAATATTTAATCAGCACCAGCATAAGGTATACTCCCTCTGTCCACAAAAGGATGCAACTACAGGATTTGTGCAAGTCAAACTAGATTAATTAACTTTGACCAAGTTTATAGTTTAAAGTATTAACATTTATTATGTCTTCAACTAGGTTTACTATGAAAATATATTTCATAATTAAATTAATGGAACTTATCTTATATAATAAATGTTTGTACTCTTTTATATAACTTTAGTCAAACTTCAAATCATTTGACTTCTCGAAAAGTGAGAATTGCGTCCTTTTGTGGACCGAGGAAGTATATACAACATTTTCCGGCATGTCACTAAGGGATTATTATGATTACAACCTGCAAGAGGGTATTCTGATGCTGCTCAGGAGGACCAGAAACTGGCCATCAGGTGTAAAATGCAAACCAGATCTTCCAAACGAAAACTGAAAAAAAAACAGAAGTGCAAGGAATTTAGTGCAATGTTGCATCACCCGGGGGGGGGGAACTCTGCTCACAGAAAATTCTTACATATCCTGTTGAAGAATGGTCCAAGGTGGGTAGTACAAGGGGAGTGTAACCAACAAAACATGGTGGCGCATCTTTCTGGTCTTTAGGAGTGATAGTGTAAACATAAAGGAATCTTTAGCAGCTCTCCAAAAGGCTACACAATACATAAATATAGAAGCTGTTATGATTTCTAGCATTTAACATGACAGACAAGACAGGCATTGGGTGCAGGTAGCATCCCACCAGCTCTAGGTGATGATCTGACCTTCTTGCTTGTGTTCTTGTGTATGCAGATACTAAACCATGTGTACAATTGGTCATAGAAAGGGCATTATCTGGTTGGTGATGAAAAACATCATTTTCACCTTTTGGAGGTATGTGTTCACAAACATTGCCTTCCCCACATACAGATAGCATCGTGTTCTTATTACCATTTTTACATCCAATTTGACATTCTTCCACTTTGCCAAGCGAATTTCCTTTATCTGCTTTAACTCCGTCACCAACAGGCCAACCTTTAGTGGTGCTTACTCTTTGTGACCCATCACTAGAATGCATGCCTTTGTCTGATGACTCAAAAGCAACATGTTTGTCAACAAACTCAACATTCTCAGAATGAAAACTAGTATTATCATCAGATTTTGTACATTTATAGCTTACACTATGGAACCTATTTTCCTTCTGATCAATTGCTGGCACTTCAGTATGATGTTGTTCATCTCGCATGACCAACAAAGATGATTTTGCCTCACTCGCAGGTGGCAAAATCAAAGTTGAACTCACATCACGCTTACCCCACTTTACAACATCATTATGTGCATTAGAATGAACTGGAGCAGGCAAGATATTTGCTAAACACTCCTCATTCCTCGAAACTGCTGAACCATGTCTAACAAAAGCTTGTGCACAAACATCAATTGATCCATTACCAGTGTTCTTGTGGTATGAAACATCCACCGAAACTGATGAGTCATTTTTTATAACATTTGTAGGCTCCTTAAATTGCTGCTCGGATTGTTTAACATCGCCATTAAACTGGTTGTAGTTTGCAGGGTTGGAACTATCTTCCCCACCGAACTCATCCTCTAGACAAGCAACGAGCGAATCAGACAAAATATATTGTCCATTTTCATGATTGTACACCACATCAGGTGCATTTTTGCCATTATGTACACTCGCCTGATACTCAAAAACTTCACCTTTGCCATTTAGCAACTTCAACTTCTCATTAGGTCCCCTAGAGCACACATTGTTGGAACTTAGGGACCTGAGGGAGTAGGAGTGGGAGATGAGAGGCCTGGGCTTGAAACCCCGGCGACGAACTGGTGGCGCCGTGCTCGGCGCCTGGCTGGAAGCTCGATGACAATGGAAGGTCGTGAACAGTAACGCCTGAGGGCCCAAGGTGAGATAAACTCAATCTCAGGCTTATCTTTATTCCTCTTGATTGTTTGACACTTATAACCAACTCAATAACCAACCTCTCCTAAATCTAAGGGCTAACAAACTTGACTTAACAGAGTCCAACTAAAATAGCTCTCCTCCTAACTAATCTCCTACTGAACCGGCTAGAGCCCAGCCTGGCCCTGGCTGCCACACCTCTGGTGCAAGGCCCCACTCCCTAGCCACTCGTCTTGTTTCGACGGTGGTATACCTTTCCTACCATAACATCACTCCCCCCCTCGACGAACAGCTCGTCCTCGAGCTGGAAGGCGGGGAACTCAGCACGGAACTCGTCCAGCGGCTCCCAGGTGGCTTCATCTTCAGGCAATGCCACCCATTGGATCAACACATGCCAAACGCCCCGCCGAAGCTGGGCACGCAGAGCACGTGCCGGTTGCTGGAGGCGACAGCCGTGGCGCAGTGGAGGAAGGGCCGGGGGCGTTGCTGGAGGAGTCCCCCGGAACGGCTTGAGGACGCCAACATGAAAGACGTTGTGGACGCGCGCTCCCTCTGGCAGCAACAGCCGGTATGCGACGTCACCAATGCGCTCGGTCACCTGGAACGGGCCGGCGAACCGCGGGCTGAGCTTGCCCCGCGGCCCCAGCAGTAGCGACTGCACCGGCCGATGAAGAATGCGGAGCCACACCCAATCACCCACCGCAAACTCCAAGGGGCGATGGTGGCCGTCGTAGTAGCGCTTAGCATACTCTTGGGCTTGGAGAAGGCGTTCGTGCACCTCAGCCAGGAAGGTGTCTCGATCCTGGAGAAGCGCGTCGACGGTGTCGGTGCGTGCTGTACCTGCAGTATAGGGAATTAAGGCAGGCGGAGGCCGGCCGTAAACAACCTGAAACGGCGGGGTCTACAAGGAAGTGTGGTAGGACATGTAGCAGTACTGTGCCCAGGGAAGCCACTCCAACCAAGCACGGGGACGGTCGCCGGTGATGCAGCGCAAATACATGGCAATGGTCTTGTTGACTGCTTCGGACTGGCCATCAGTTTGTGGGTGGAACGCCGTACTGAGGCGGAGCTTGACCCCTGCCAACTTGAATAGATCCCGCCACACATTGCCAGTGAACATGGGGTCCCGGTCGCTGACAATGGAGTTGGGGAACCCGTGCAGGCGAACGATGGCCTCGAAGAATGCCTTGGCGACCGAAGCCGCGGTATACGGATGACTGAGCGCGATGAAGTGTGCATGCTTGGACAAGCGATCGACCACCATTAAGATGACGCTCTTGCCATTAACACGCGGCAGTCCTTCGATGAAGTCGAGCGAGATGTCAGACCACACCTATGATGGCACCTCCAGGGGCTGCAGCAACCCCGCCGGCCGAAGGGAGTCCACCTTGTTCTTCTGGCAGACGGTGCAGGCTTGCACAAAGTCGCGCACCTGTGCCCGATCACCCTCAACGTAGAACTGGGCACGCAGGCGGTGGAGAGTCTTCTGAACGCCCTCATGCCCAACCGAGTGGGCAAGTTCCAGCACTGTGGGCAACAGTGCCGACTGCACTGGGACGAAGACGCGGGTGCCATGGAGGATGAGACCGTCCACGACGCGCCAAGGGGCGCCGCGGTCAGCGGCTATGGAGTCCCGCAGCGCGCGCAGGGCTGTGTCCTCCTGGAGCTCACGGCGGAGGTTGTCGAAGAGGTCGAAGGATGGTCCTGACAAGGCGTGAAGATGATCAGCAGCCTCGTCACGCCGGGACAGCGCGCCGGCCACCACATTCAGGCGCCCTGGCTGAAATTCGACGGCGAAGTCGTAGCCGAACAGCTTGGAGACCCACTGATGTTGAGGCATGGTGGAGAGGCGCTGGTCGAGAAGGAACTTGAGCGCATAGTGATCCGTGCGCACGACGAAGCGACGCCCCCAAAGATATGGCCTCCAGTGCCGAACAGCTTGTACCAATCCAATGAGTTCCCGCTCGTACGCAGCGAGCTTCATGTGCCTTGGCGAGAACGGCCTGCTGAAGAATGCGATAGCGCCCATGCCCTGGTGCAGCACAGCGCCAAAACCTGATCCAGACGCATCGCAATCCACCGTGAAGGGTAACTCAAAGTTCAGCAATTGGAGAACCGGAGCCGCAGTCAGTGCTTGTTTCAACGCCGTGAATGCTGATGCTGCCGCCTCAGGCCACAGAAAGCGTCCTTGCGCAAGAGCTGCGTGAGAGGCGCAGCGATGGCTCCGAAATCCTTGATGAAGCGGCGGTAGTAGCCCGCTAAGCCGAGGAAGCCACGGAGACCCCGCGCTGAGCGCGGCTGAGGCCACAACGTCACTGCCTCCACCTTGGATGGGTCCATGGCCACCCCACCAGCGGAGATGATGTGGCCCAGGTACGCGACGGAGGGCGCGGCGAACGAACACTTGCTGCGCTTGATGCGCAACTGCTGTTCCCGCAACATTGTGAGGACAGCCTTGACATGTTGGAGGTGCGACGTCCACGAAGGGCTGTAGATTAGAATGTCATCGAAGAAAACCAATACGAACTTACGGAGGTAGGGCCGAAGGACCGTGTTCATGAGGCTCTGGAATGTCGCCGGCGCGTTGGTCAGGCCGAACGGCATGACCAAAAATTCGAAGTGGCCGTGATATGTGCGGAAGGCCGTCTTCTCAATGTCATCAGCGTGCATCCGGACTTGATGGTAGCCCGAACAGAGATCCAATTTGGTGAAGAATTTGGCGCCTTTGAGTTCATCCAGGAGCTTCTCTACCACTGGAATGGGGAACTTGTCCTTGACTGTTTTGTCGTTGAGGGCGCGATAATCCACACAAAAGCGCCAAGAGGAGTCCGGCTTCTTGACCAGCAACACCGGCGCTGAAAATGCCGACGTACTTGGCCGAATTATGCCCTAGGACAGCATAGCAGCACACTGTGACTCGAGCTCTTCTTTCTGGAGCTGTGGGTATCTGTAGGGGCGAACTGCTACCGGCGCCGTGTTGGGCTGCAGGTGTATGCGGTGATCACAGGCACGGACCGGTGGCAAGCCCTGGGGTTCAGCGAAGAGGTCCTCGAAAGACTGCAGTAAGCGCTCCATCAGAGTGGCCCATCTTGGCGAATGGCATGGAGGCGCTGAGTTGATTGGACATCATGCCGTGTCGAGCCGATGCCGCGCCAGAACACGCGGCGGCCTTCGCGTGAGAACGCCATACACAAATCATCGAAGTCCCAGAGGATGGGTCCCAACATCCTCAGAAAAGTGACGCCGAGGACCATGTCGTAGCCGTCAATTGGAATGGAGTAGCAGTCGATGGAGAAGTGTTCGTCGGCAATGCGAATGGCGACGTCCTTCGTGAGGCCACGGCAGGTCACGCGGTCGCTGTTGGCGACGATGACCCCGGTGCCCGGGCAGGGATGGAACTGAAGGCCCACGCGTCGGGCGACGTCGCCGCGCACAAAATTATGCGTGGACCCCGAATCCAAGAGCGCCACAAACTGCTCATTGCCAATCTGTATGTAGAGTTGCATGGTGTCCTCAGTCCGAATGCCAGTAATGGCGTTGAGCAAGATCATGGGGGCATCGGGGTTGAAGGGCGACTGGGTCACTGCTGCAGGTGCAGCTGGCTCCCCATCGGCGTCGTCTGGTTCCTCGACAATGTAGTCTGATGCCTCTAGATAAAAGAGTCGGGCGCACTTGTGGCCGCGGACGTACTGCTCATCGCAGTTGTAGCAATAGCCCCAGTTTACGGCGTTCAGCCATCTCCTCAGGTGGCAGCCGCTTGAATGGCCTTGTATTGACTGCTGGCGCGGATGAAGCTGACGCCGAACTCCCCTGGGAACCCACCAACGAGGTAAGTGCTGGAGCAGTCCCCGCATTGCGGCGAGGTGGGCGGGCCGACGCAGCGGCAGGGCGAGCGGTGCAGGAGTATTCCGCCGCTCATACGCACGTGCCAGCCACATGGCCCGCTGGAGATATTGCGGGTCGTGGAGCTCGACGTCGACGTGAATGTGGTCCGGAAGGCCCCCGGTGAACAGCTGAGTCTGCTGGTACGGCGAGAGGCGACCGGCGTGCGCCATGCGCACCTGAAACGCATCCAGGTACGCATCCACCGATGATGTGAATGGTAGGCATGCCAGGTCCGCCAAGTGATTGGTACTGAGCGGGGGTCCGAAGCGTTGATGACACAGGCGCTTGAACTCTTCCCACTCGGGCTGGCCGGCGTCACGTTCCAGAATTGTGTACCACATCTGGGCTGTGCCGGTGAGGTGGTAGGACGCGAGCCAGACCCAATCCACGTGACGAGTCTGCTAGTCGCGGAAAAACTGCTCACACTTGAGCAGCCAGCCGAGCGGATCCTCCTTGCCGTCATAGGTGGGGAAAGACAGCTTATGGTAACGGGGGACAGCAGGGCCCTCCAGCTCCGGCAGCAGATGAGGCAGTGGCGGCGACATGTGCATCGCGGCCGAAGGTGGCGGCGCAGCGACCCCTGCTCCTTGCATGATGGACGACAGGGAAGGCATGGGCGACGGCGAGTGTGGAAAAGCAATCTGGGTGATGGGAACACCTGTAGATGGCGGCTGCGGCGGCAGAGACAGGGCACCGGCGATGGTGACTCCCGTGGTGGCCACTGGTGGTGCGGAAATCGGGAACTCCAAGATGGCCGGGCCCGACGCAGGCAACGCCGGAATTCCGCCATAACCCGGCAGTCCGTACTGGAAGAACGGTTGCCCCGAAGATGAGGGCTGGCGCTCCACCGCAGCGAGACGTAAGGAGAGATCCCCCATCTGGCGTTGCATCGCGTAGATGGCCGTTGTCAAGGCATTGTGAAAGGATCTAACAATGCCTAGAGGGGGGTTGAATAGGCGTATCTAAAAAATTACTGCAAATGCTAAGTTCAATTCTGTCAGTCACTGTCGGAAGTCCCGACGTTTGGGTCGAAACTTCCGACGTTGTCAGAAGTTCCGGCGCAAACGTCAGCAGTTCCGACTCTTACTGAACTACAAAAGCAGTGTCAAATTTAACTTTGCGGATAAATAAACTTACAACCTCACTTCCTAGTGATTTGGTGAAGATGTTGAGTCACTCCCTTGACGCCGTAATGCCTCCAAACGGTAGATCGAGTCCAAACCCTAAAATGGAAGTTTGGGAGAGAAAGAGACAAACACATACAAATAATCTCTAGCAATCACAACAACAAGCACACGGGACACAAGGATTTATCCCGAGGTTCGACAACCCCACTAAGGAGCTCCTACGTCCTCGTTGTTGAGGTGACCACCAAGGTCAGAGTCTTTTCCACCTCTTTGCCTCTCTCAAAGCGACCACAAAGATCACTTGAGCTTTCCACTAAGAAATCGAAGGGTGATACAAACTTCCTAAGGCTCTTCCACAAGATGGAAGCTCTAGGGCAACGCCTAGCTGGCTTGGGGCAAAGCCCCAAGACTAATAGACGCAAAATCAACTGGCTTGACGAAGAAATTAAGTGCTCAAACTTTCCAAAGTGATGCTCTCACTTAATCCACTCTCCTTTCACTCAAACCCTAAGGGAATCGAAGATTGGAGCAAAGGGGGAAGGAGAGGGGTGCTTTAGTTGCTTGGGAGCTGTTGAGCACGAAGTGAGTCAACTGTGAAATGTGTCCGTAACGGTTAGAAGTGAAGAAAAGAGTATTTATACTCCAAGAGAAAATCTAACCGTTCAGATCTACGTCGGAAGTTCCGACGCAGATCTCGGGACTTCCGACGATAACAAAAAATACTATTCACAACGGGTCAGAAGTCCACGCGTGCAAGTCAGTGTCGGAACTCCCGGCAAACGTCGGGACTTCCGAGTGTCGGAACTTCCGACGTTCGTCGGGACTTCCGACGTACACAGTTAAACAAACAGCCAGCACCTCTAATGTCGGGACTCCCGGCTTGGGTCAAGTCAGTGTCGGAACTCCCCGCAAACGTCGGGACTTCCGACGGTCGGAACTTCCGACGAACGTCGAGACTTCCGACGTGCACAGACAGTCAGTCAGTCAGAAGCATAGGTGCCGGGACTCCCGGCTCAGGACAGGACTTCCGACGTCCACAGTCACCGCGCAGGCTAAGTGACTAGGAGTCAGAACTACCGGCAAAGGTCATGACTTCCGACTGTCGGGAGTTCCGGCTTACGTCCGGACTTCCGACATCGACAGTCACAGAAAATTATTCTTTGTGCTCGTGAAGTGCTAGAGTGTCCTATTTTTTATTTTATTTTTATGCTTGAGCACTCTATCTTCCTCAGACCAAATAACTTTGCATCCCTGTTTATAGTACGGCGGATCCTAAACTCAAAATCAAAATTAAAACCTTTGGAGAGCGTTTTGAGTTCGTCCGTCTTTTCAACTTCAAGAATTGAGGGATACCATTTCATCTTTATCAACTCTTTGAATCTTTCATAGGACTAATAGCTGCGACATATCTCATTAAGATCACATTAGTCCCTAATTTGGATGTCATCAATACACCAAAACCCACATAGGGGGCAAATGCACTTTCACATTGAATGCCTCGGTGGGCGAAGCTGGGGTCGCGGATGGTGGGCTGAGCAGCGACGCTGTGGTTGCAACAATTGGAGCGGAGGTGGTGAACACAGGGAATGCAGAGGTGGTGGAGGCGGCGGTGGCAGCGGCGGTGGTTGGAGCGACGGCAGCGGCGGACGTCCCAGGACCAGACATGGCTGATACCAGGTTGTTGGAACTTAGGGACCTGAGGGAGTAGGAGTGGGAGATGAGAGGCCTGGGCTTGAAACCCCGGCGACGAACTGGTGGCGCCGTGCTCGGCGCCTGGCTGGAAGCTCGATGACAATGGAAGATCGTGAACAGTAACGCCCGAGGGCTCAAGGTGAGATAAACTATCTCAGGCTTATCTTTATTCCTCTTGATTGTTTGACACTTATAACCAACTCAATAACCAAACTCTCCTAAATCTAAGGGCTAACAAACTTGACTTAACAGAGTCCAACTAAAATAGCTCTCCTCCTAACTAATCTCCTACTGAACCGGCTGGAGCCCAGCCTGGCTCCCACGCCTGGCCCTGGCTGCCGCACCTCTGGTGCAAGGCCCCACTCCCTAGCCACTCGTCTTGTTTCGACGGTGGTATACCTTTCCTACCATAACACACATCCTCAGGATAATGATGATGATTACCTATTGATTTCTTCGTATTGTCACCCAAAATTTGTGCATCATCCTCAAAACTATCTGCAACAACATAACCACTCATCTCATCTAATTTAACCACTGAGTCATCATTTCTGCAGTCATCATTGGCAAAGCCATTTTTAACCATGCCATGATGAGATCCCGCATGGTCACACATTCCAGAACTATTTTCATTTGTACCTTCACCCATAATTGTTGGTACAGTTACACCTGTTCAAAACAAGGAATTATTCAGAGCCGTAGCTAACTTACAGAAGAAAAGGATCATCAGTCAGAAGTTACAAAAGTCCAAACTATGTTTTCTGTAGCCTTCTTGCTTGGCTATAGAAAGTTACCCTTATCAAAAGAAAAAGGAATACCATTTTAACTACTCTAATTAATCAAATTTTCCATGAAAGATATATTTCCACAATAACAAATCCTCAAACAAAGATATATTTCGACAAGAAAACTAAAATTAGTTACCTTGGCAGCAACTATCAGATGGATTGTAAGCTGAAACTGTTTTCGCTGAAACAGTAGAGGTTTCTTTATTTTTATGCTTGGATTTCTTCCTTTTGTAAGTTTTCATGAGAAGGGGAATAGCTTGGGGAAGCAAAATAGACATCATAGACTTTGCTACTTCCTTCTCAGCCAATTCTATATTAGACTTTTCAGGGCTCGAATAAGAACCAGAAGATAAACCAACTTGTTGAGATGAAACTAGGAAAGGCTCTCCCAAATTATCATCAAGAGAAGTGGATTGTGCGTTGTTAGGGACTTCTTCCAGCAATGGAAGGGCACATCTTGAATCAGAGACATCTTGCAAAAGTGCTCTACCTACAGTATCTCCCTTGAACATTTAAAAACAGAAATCATTAATTCATTATCAAATAATGGCCCAACACAGAAGTAACAGTGTGGCACTGCAATCCAAGAGTTACACGCGTGAGGATGATTAACCAGCTCACAACTGAACTTTAAGAACTTGCACTAATTTGTTTAACATCCTGACTCTGGTACAGATTAATAATTTTTTTAACAGTGATAACAAGAAAATTTTGTACACAGCCATGTTATTGGTGAAAAGAAATATGCAGGCAATAAAAAGGAGTGTGTTCTCGCCAAAAGGTGGTGAAGTATATTGCCCACGTTTGTAGACAATCTTAAGCTGAGGCGACAACTTCATTAAACAATGCCGGACGTGCAGTCAGTAAACAAGGCTATGTAACTAATGAAGAAAATAAAGCAAAGCAATATTGTGCATTATTTAAAAAAATCCTATGGAATTTTATAGCACAATCCCTGATTACTGAAGCTACAAAGAAGTACCCACGTTGTCTCACATGAACTATTTAGCATTAAACAAGTGAAAGGAAGTCCACTAGAGCATACAAGATTCAAAAATTAGATGATAATTACGAACAGGCCAGATAAGCCATGATGTAACTTATTTCTAGTTGACTGACAAAACCATTGCGTGACATATCCATGATTAAACACCAACTACACTTCAAGGAGGAAGCGGGGGTTTAAAGAAAGAGGAGCTCAGCTTACTTCATTTGTATTTTTATGTGTGGATACATTGCACTTATCAACTGAAGTTAACATGTCCGGGCAGTGGACTATCAAGGTATTTTCCACCTGGCTGGGCTCTATACTTCTTTTAGGAGTTCCACTTTCCATGCCTAAGCAAACGGATAGATCTTCAGCCTCAGAAACATCAGATGCATCTTTATTATGAACTAAATGTGCACCAGCCTCCAAAGCGACTTCACAAGGCAGGTTAAGTTCAACTGCTCTAGTTGAATCTACTATAAGCTCACGTAGCAATCTCTGAATAGATGCATTTTTTAACCCAAAAAGCTGCATAGGAGTAGGACAAGAGCAAAACTAAACATGATTATAATTTGGTTATAGTACACAATGTTAACAGAGTGTGGTTACCCCTGTTCAACTTCTATTCAAGAAAATAGTCAAGCTACTGCTTCTTATTGATCACATTTCCGTTTCCTACAGGAATAAAATATTTGGATTCCTGTGGTACAATTAGTGTATGTGCCAGGGCTCTTGAGTTTTTGTTCTCGATTGCCCGAATGAAAGTTTCGATCATTATGTGTGCATGCCCCCTCCCTTTCCTTCGGTGAGCAAAAAGCAACTGCTCTTACGCTTGGGGATACATACTTAACTGCTGTGGAGGAGTCAGGATTAGACTTACAACCACAGCAATACGGGTTCATCAGAAGCTGCACGATCCAAGATTGCTTGGCTTGGTGATTTGAGTATATACATCAGTGCAAGCAATCAAGGCGCAAAGTGATAATTTTGAAGCTGGACTTTGAGAAAGCATTCGATACGATTGAGCACCCGGCAATCCTCCAAATGCTAGAGCACATGGGTTTCCCGCAGAGATGGATCAACTGGATCAGCAGTATTCTATCCACTGGAACCTCAGCTGTCATCCTGAATGGAGTACCGGGCAGAAAATTTAAATGCAGAAGGGGTGTCCGTTAGGGAGACCCCCTCTCCCCGTTGATCTTTGTCTTGGCCGTGGAGATGCTTCAGATCTTGATAAAAAGAGCAGCATCGCAGGGTCTCCTCTGTCCTCCAATTCCCCAAGGAAATGCTGATTACCCCGTCATACAGTATGCCGACGACACGCTGCTTATCATGCAGGCAGACGCCAGGCAATTATTTTTCCTGAAGGCACTGCTTAGAAGTTTCTCGGACTCCACAGGACTTAAGGTCAACTATTCCAAATCTCAGATGCTACCGATCAATGTCTCCCAAGACAGAATGAAGATCTTGGCCAACACATTTGGATGTCAAATAGGAACGTTCCCGTTCACATGCCTCGGACTACCCATGGGCACGACAAAGCCACGCGTGGAAGACTACACTCCTCTGATGGACAAGATCGAGCGTAGGTTAACCGCTTGTTCATCCCTGCTATCCTACTCTAGGAGGCTTCAAATGGTCAACTCGGTGCTCACAGCGACAGCCACTTATGCAATGTGCACACTGAAACTCCCAAAAGGTGTGATCGATAACATAGACAGAGCTCGTGAGCAATGTCTATGGAGAGGCTCAGATATGACAAAGAAAGGAGGGAACTGGGCTGCTTGGCCCATGGTAAGAAAGCCCAAGAGCAAAGGAGGTCTAGGTGTCATCAACCTGAACATGCAGAACGATGCCCTCCTTCTCAAACATCTCCACAAGTTTTATAACAAAGTGGATGTGCCATGGGTCAACCTCGTTTGGAGTAAGTACTACACTGATAAAGTGCCGCATGCTACAGAAATCGGATCATTTTGGTGGAAGGATGTACAGAGGTTGAGCCCTATTTTCAGAAATATTGCTCGATGTTCCCTCGGCGATGGCACGACTGTCACCTTCTGGGACGATCTCTGGTCAGATGATGAGGTATTAGCGCATCGCTTCCCCAGGCTTTTCTCTTTCGCCAGGAATCCAAACATAAGTGTCAGTGAAGTTATGTCTGCTGAAGATTTAGACACTCTCTTCGCTTTACCGATCTCACAAGAGGCTTTTGAGTAACTTGAAACGCTCGGTGATTTCCTACAGTTGCAAGCATTTGATGAAGAAAGTAGAGATACTTGGACATATCAATGGGGCAATGCGACTTATTCCTCGAGTAAGTTCTACAAGCTAGCTTTCCAGAACCTGCCGGAGCACCCAGTCTTCTCTTGGCTCTGGAAATCCAAATGCACGCCAAGAGTTAAATTCTTTGCCTGGCTAGTCCTAGTTGATAGACTGAACACCAAGACGATGCTCAGAAGGAGGAATTTGTTTGATGAAGATGATGAACACTGCGTCCTATGCACGGCAGGGATAGATGAGGATCTGGACCATCTCTTTTTTGATTGCCCTTTCTCCAAGAGGTGGTGGGAAAAGATAGGAATGCAGTGGCACACAGGCCTCAGCTTATACCCGAGAATAGCGCACGCCAGGCAACAGCAAAACATTCCTTTTTTCATGGAGGTAGTGACCATTGCTGCGTGGGAGATATGGAAGATAAGAAATGACAGAATGTTCAACAATGGCAAAGTCCACGTCAATATTTGGTTTGCAAATTTCAAAAACCAATGTCTGCTTCAGTCGCTTCGTTTTAAGGATGATCTAAGATCAGCCTTTTGTTTTTGGCTTGATGCTTACAGTTAATTCCTGTTGTAAGTTTGTACTGTTTTACCCTTAAATTTATAAATTGAAGTGCTGTGGGGATCTCCCCCACAGTTTTTGCCTTCAAAAAACCATTAGTAGATTAGTCTCCCTCTTATTTAAGCCTTATAAGTCACCCCAAAAATAGAAGAATAACATAGCGCCTCCATTTTGATGCGGTGTAAAATGTTCAGTAACTAGAACCTTAACTAGTTTAATTACCAACTACAGTATGCTATCTTGGCAGTGGGCATAAAAAAAAGAACCTTGACTGATCTTTTAGCTCCTTATCGGCGTGGAGGAAAAATCGGACTATTTGGAGTCTTTTTTTTAGGTAAAACAGTACTCATCATGGAATTAATCAATAACATGGCTAAAGCTCACGGAGGCGTATCCGTATTTGGCGGAGTCGGGGAACGGACTCGTGAAGGAAATGATCTTTATATGGAAATGAAGGAATCTGGAGTAATTAATTCCAAAAATATTAAGGAATCAAAGGGAGCTCTAGTCTATGGCCAAATGAATGAACCGCCGGGAGCTCGTATGAGAGTTGGTTTAACTGCCCTAACTATGGCGGAATATTTCCGAGATGTTAATAAGCAAGACGTGCTTTTATTCATCGATAATATCCTTCGTTGACTATTTTGATGGAATGTGAAGTTGTGAAGCAGCTAGAGGTGTGAAACATGCCTCAGCACCATCAATCTTTTGAGGGAAGCTCTTTGTCCTCTGCCAGTTCTTCACTTTTGCCCCAGTCTTTTTCTGGAAGTTCTTCCAAGCGATATCAGGGGTCTGCCCTGTCGCTGAGTCTCCTTCAGTGGATGTAACCTGCAGACTGAGCTTATCAGCACATCATCTATTTCTATAAACATCCGAGCCGAGTTGGTGTGGAAGATTCCTCACCAGGAATATTGGACCCTTGGGCCCCTGTTGGATTTCCATGGCATAGGATATTCCGGTGAAATGGCGGACAGCATGGTAACCCACTGGGTAAGGGTACCGGTCCTTGCCCTTAGAATAAATTACACATTCCGAATTAGCTAAGCATGGATAAACTACCAAAATAAAAATGACATTACTGTGCACTATGCAGTATGTAACATACTATCTGTAATGACATTCTATGAAAGTAAAGCGTGAGCATATAGCTGGAATTACTGCAGAGCTACGGTTTAGTTTCAAAATTGCGAATGCGCATCCTAGTTCTTGGCTCCTGCTCGAATCCCCAAACTAAGCGGCAGCACTTTAGCCAAGATTCCCCAAATGGACGCCCAAAACTATTAATCCCCAGCACGGGCGCCCGCGAGAGAATCCGGATACCAGGAGAGAGAGGCGAACGAGCAGCAAGTCGGGTGAGGCAAAGGGGATTTGAAGGAGAAGGCGAAACCCTATGCCCTAGTTTGGCGGTTTTACCCTCGAGCAGCTACAGTATTTGCGCTCCCAGTCGCCGCCGCGGTGGTAGAGCGCCCCCGCTGACACGATCTCCATCACGCGGTCGCCCTCCGCGTCCTCCGCCGCTGCCATCCTTCGCCTTCTCGCCGCCGAGCACGAGGGCAGCAGCGGGGGTGGTGGGCGGAGAACCGGAAGAGTGGAGTCTCTCTCTCTCCCTCTCCGAGCGAGCGCGCACAAGTTGGGCAGCTCGACGCGCCAAAACGAAACTAGTGAAGCATTTCTTTCGTAAAACGGACCAAAACTAATATGAACTGTGCTGTGCCGGCGTTGGTCCGATACTCCCATGGAACATTGGAACCACACGATTTCAGTTTAATGGCTAACAAAAAATATTCCTAAGCTCATAAGTGTTGGATAATAGAAAATGTTAATATTTTGAGAATTATTCTATTTAATTATATATAGTGGCATACTAGGAACGTGGATACGAAGTAGCTGCTTCCAACACTCTCCTGAATAATTTCTTCATCATGTAATTAGAGAACTCTAAAATCCAGGTGGCAAAACAGAAAGAGAAATAGAATAATAATATGCCATCAAAAACTCATGTCAAAACTAGTACTAAGGAAAAAAAAAGGTGCAATGGCACTACTATTGTGGTAAGGCATACGAGAGCATTTCCAAATGTCTTTCTTAAACTTAATCTCTAATAAATTATTATTTAGAGAGCTTTTGAATAAAAATCATTATTTATATTTATAGCTTCTCCTTATCTTGTGTGCACTTTAGAGAGTCACATTCTACTTTCTATATTTTTACTACCGAGATATTCGAAATCACTACCACAAAATTGATTTTAGGAGACACCTCTCTGATTAACGAGGCAGACGCATACAGACCGTCTCCAATAATGACTAGGCAGCCTTCAGCCAAATACCCGCTTCTATAATTATTACAAAGACAGGTGTCTCTACTCAAGGTGATGAACAAGGTGCCCTGAATGATGTCCTCGCTTGGCTATGAATTGATACATTCTATTCTATTCTATTCTATCAGCTGACTTCGTAGACAACAAAGTAAGTTCTCCTTGTACAAGGTCTGAGTTTGCTTGTATGTACACATATAGGCCCGTTTGGTAGGGATTTTGGGGCAGCTTTCACAAAAGTTGTTTTGCAACTTCCCTACGAGACGTTTCTCGGGAAGCAGCTTCGCATCGCCAATCATAGGAAAACACGCTCTCATAGGCCAAAATGGGATGGGGAAGCTAAAAATGTAGCTTGGCTTGGCTTCATCTAACGCAGGTGGGTCCCAACGCCAGCCATGGGCTAGATTTGCCCCTAGCGACGGCTGAGCCGGCGCGGGGTGGAGTGGCCGAGTCCTGAGGCCGGCGTCGGCACCAAGGTGGAGGCGGGCGCGAGAGCAGTTGCCGACATGGGGGCGGGCCGCCGAGGATGGGGGGAAGGCAGAGCGAGGGGTTGTCGTCACGCTAAGGCCGGGGCAAGGGGTCGCCTTCGGGCCAAGGCTGGGGCCAGTCACCATCGCGCTGAGGTCGAGGTGGCCGGGACAGACTCACTGGGGACGAGGCAGGAGCGGGTCGTTGAGGCATAGTTTTCTTTTAGGCAGGGGCGAAGGTTGTTGTGGCTATGATTTGCATGGGCAGCAGCGGCCATGCGGGCGAATAAGGGAATGAGAGAGGAGGAAAAGGAAAAGAGAGAGAAAAAAAAAGAAAAGGCAAAAAAGAAAGGGGTATTATGGATTTTTTACTCTTTCCGATGATCCAGAGAAGTTGTTTTACCAAAAGATTCACCAAAACAAATGCAGCTCCATCAGTAGAGCTGCTTTTAGAGCCAAAGCTATTTTTTTAGAGAATGGTTTCATTAATCCGGCCTCTATATCCATGAAGAATATACGTAGCCAAAAGGATACAAGAGCACTTAGACTCACAACCAAAAGAGGAAAAAACTACAACCTCAACACATCCCTGCTTCCTGACATCATCTCCCAAAACGGCTAGATCGACGAGTGGAAGTCGTCGAGTCACTGCCGCCCCTAGTGCGCCATCGTTGCAAACCTCCACTAGTACCATCTTCATCCACTTCAAGTGAGGTGACGCAAGTCGTCCAGTCAGAGCTGATCAGATGGAGTCGAGAGGATCCGCTTTTGCTTCACCAGATTCCTAGGCCTCTGCCACCCATAGGGTTGTCGCCTCTGCTGGTGTCCTCTGTCGCTGCCATCAATGATATCCTCTTCTACTGAGACCCCCATGTCCCAAGCCACCACCGCCCTTAGGGCCACTACCACCGGGATCCGCTTCCACCTGATCCGCCTCCTCCTAACCGAGATCTTCACCGACGCTTAGGTCGCCGCTGCCACTGAGGAAGAGACTCCTAGGCCACCATCGCCCCTAGGACATGGCTGCCTACGGAACCACCTCCGCTAGATCCACATTCTCCCTACCAAGGACTGGTCGTCAACGCTTAGGCTACCACCATCCTCTGCCATAGCCACACTCATCGTCGCCCACCTCTGTTGTCGTCACCATAGTGTCTCGCTGCAACCCTACTCCACATCGACAAGCACGACCAACCGTGCTGCCTCTCTGATGACGAGCCACACGGCTTTAGCGGTGATGCATACGATCCAGAGCCCCAACAGGTGACCCATGGGGTTGGTGTCCACGAGGTCCTCGGACACCCAGATTGGCGATGCTGAAGATGTGTGCGAGATCCGCCCTTGATAGAGACGGTGAGGGAGAGGGAGGCGAGATTCGTCCTGGGCACCATTAGTGAGGGAGAGGGAGGCGAGATCCACCCTCCAACACCATAGGTGAGGAAGAGGGAGGTGAAGTTGATTCACTAGTGAAGCCAAGCTATACCAAATAGGCCCTATAGATCTAGGGTAGTGTTCTGTTGCATTAGTATATGAAGCTGGTGTCCTAGCTTCCTTTTATTTTGGTTCCCTCCATCCCACAAAGACGGAGTAATGCTTACAATAAAAGCATGAATGCTCTCTTGTCTAAATAAAAAATGAAATTTAGTAGGTAGTACAAATGACATCACTGCAAGGAAAGTGATGACGCATTGGACTAAGACATCTAAAATTCATCATAGTTAACTAGCTATGATGGCCCAAACAATGGTCATAAAATCCACATCATGAGTCTATGATCATCATTGGTTTGATAGGTTTACCTGCAACGTGCAGTGACAAAATGGACACTACTATGCTCGGACCTTTCACAGCCACATCGTAACCCCCATCGTAGACGCATTTCGGCCTAGGCGGTAAGCTATCAACAGTGATGGCCATAGCCTTCACCGTCGGCATCTAGAACTTACTGTGGTGTACACTAACATCACCGTATTGGCTTATGATCCGTCTGTGATTAGATCCTTACTTCCGTCACATTGGAGCACAACCCGGCTATGGATGTACACTACCACCGCCGCATTGGCAAATGATCCACCTATGTCAAGGCTATCAAAACCGTCGTGTGGGCACATCAACCGCCTGAAGTGGTCACCAGCACCGTCGCCTTGTACTTCGACCCGACTGCCAGCGGTGCGGGTTCACTATCGCTTCGACGACCGAGACGCTTGTGTAGAGGTGAACACCATCATCGCTTCAACGTATGATCTGCTAGTACAAAGGTCAGGGTCACCGTCGCCTTGCACCACGATCCGTCTTTGATGATCGTTTAGTCGGTGTTGGGTTACTAAAGGATTCGGCGGTGATATACTTTTGATCCCTGCCACATCATACGTATAGTCACGGTGTTGGACGTTTGCACCACCACCGGTGATGGTGATAAGAAAATAATGAATGGCGCTTACATCTGACAGTGATAGAATTTCACCCAGTTTCACAATAGTTACTAATTCAGTTAGGCCCTTAATAGCTTTATGAACATAAAGCATACAGATATATAATCATTGCATCTAGAAATCATGTTTAGAAAAAGAGTACATTTTACAATAATAATGGACGCTACCATAACATCTTTCTTAACTAATGTCCTAACACAAGCGGTACATAAAAAGCATACTAAAGGTACTGATCCATACAGACTTACATAACAAAACGACGTAGATGTGCTCCTTCTATGTGGCACTCCTACTTGTAAGGCAAAATGAATATAATTAGTGCATCCTTCGGATTGGTAGCCAATGCACCATGGAACCCCTCTTCATCTCTGATCCACAACCTGAACAAAGCAGCAGAATTAATAATATTGAACATACTATTTCTTTAGTTAACGAGCCAAAACTAGCCTATACATACATATAATGAAAACAACTCTCTACCTGAACAAAGACTATCGTGATGACGAAATACAGGAAATGCACCTTTACTGCTTTGCTAATGACTCCATGAATAAGGGGACATAAGGAAGATAGTAAGGCCTGTTCATATGAAAACACCCTCTTGATCTACAAAAGCGAATGACACGGGCATGGATGACATGAACCTTTTTGCGGTCCATGTCATATGCAATCAATGTTCTATCCTTCCCAACAAGGAAAATGAAATTATATTGTGGGTGAACTGTAATCACTCTGTACTCTTCATCACAAAGCTCAAAACAAACTTTAATATTCATGTGTCCAAACAGTTCCTCCGTGTCCACAACATGCTTCAAACTCCAATTATCAGTACCATAGTCTTTAAGTATCCACACTAAAAGTCAAGACCTATTGCGAAAATCAGCACAACACACACACACACAGGTGACCCTGAGTTTGATGGATGAACATTTTAGCACCACCTGGTTTACGAATTGTCGGGGACCAATATTAGGGTACCCAAAGAGGAGTTAATGACCGTCGAACATTGATTCATCCATGCGATCAAGAGCACGGCTACACCGCTTGCTGGGACATTGCTCGTCCATCCACCGAGACCATGGGCCCCGCCTCGCCCAACCCTAGGGGGCTGGCTCCGCCTCGCCTGACGTTTGGGAGCAGACTCCGCCTCGCCCGACGTCCGGGGGCTAGCTCTGCCTCGCCCAACGTCTGGGAGCAGACTCCGCCTCGCCCGACGTCCGGGGGCTGGCTCCACCTCGCCTAACGTCTAGAAGCAGACTCCGCCTCGCCCGACATCTGGGGGCAAACTCTGCCTCGCCCGACGTCCGG